GGAGTTTGGGGAAAATAGAATCTTGACATTTGGGAGTGGTAGTTACTGGAATTTATAGTTCACCTACAATCACAGAGCATTCTGAACCCCACCAATGACAGAATTGGGCCAAACTTCCCACACAGAACCCCCATGTGGGCCACAGCAACGCGTGGCAGGGGACGGCTAGTATGTTATAAAGCTTTACATGGTATAACTCTAGAAGGAATGTTACTCTTATTTCCAGGCAAGGAACCTAGGCTAATTCAATGTGACTATTCTCACCATTTAAAGAGTTCCGAACAGAAGTGAGATCTTATGCACTTTGTTTCGAAATCTTTATTTTCTAGATCATTGGGCAAAGGTCGAGGCCAACTGGCATGTCTCAGTTCCACCAGCTGTGACCCCTACTGTTTCCATCAGATTACGCTTCTCCATAGTTCTAGCTACAAGATAAATTCTAGCCATCCAGGGAAAGAGATTAAACCTGAAAATGTTGGTAGAATAATGCTTTATTTTTATTTTTATAATAAGTGATGTACACTTTAGTTTTATTGTTCCAGGCGCTGATCTTCTTCTGGGATGGCACAGTCAACCTAATGGACATCTCTATGGAAGAAAATATTTGCCAGTTCGTCCCCCCGTCCCCATATAAAGTCGCCTCTCCCTGGCAGCCAGTTTTTTCAGTGGATAGCGATGGCCAAGGCATGATCCTCAGAGGTTTGTGGCAGACAGAAAAACACAGGATGGAAAGAGAATTTGCCTCCTATAAGTGCTTGGCCTGAGTGTCTTCTCCTGCCCTCCCAACTGTGATGTTTTAGTTATCTGGTTCCTTTATTTTTTATTTTTTATATAATCATATGGTCCAGTTCAGTGTCCAAAGTGCCGTTGTGCCTGCTAGCCAAAAGCCTGGTTCCAAAACCACGATTTCAGTTTTTTCCTAAAGGAAAGGAGGGAGGATGCCGATCTAATCTCACTGGGGAGCGAATTCCACAAGCGGGGGCCACCACTGAGAAGGCCCCGTCCCTTGTCCCCACCAGACGTGTTTGCGAGGCCGGTGGGACCTTGGCCTGCACTTAAACACAATCGGCACTGACAAGATTACCATCTGCCAGCTGCAGAAGACCACCCTACTGGGATCTGGACATATTATTTGCCGATACATCACACAGTCCTAGACACTTGTGATCCAATACAACAGCCAGCAGAGTGATCTTGTCTGCTGTGGACTCATCTTGTTGTGTTTCAAATAATAATAATAATAAATTCAAAGTGATGGTTTTGACCTATAAAACCCTATACGGCTCCGGCCCAGCGTACCTGTCCGAACGCATCTCCTTCTATGTCCCGCCTATGAATTTAAGATCTTCTGGAGGGGCCCTGCTCTCGGCGCCGCCCTTGTCACAAACGAGGTTGGCGGGGACGAGGGACATGGCCTTCTCGGTGGTGGCCCCCCCATCTGTGGAATTCACTCCCCAGGGAAATTAGATCATCGTCATCCCTCCTCTCTATCAGAAGGAAATTAAAAACATGGATATGGGACCAGGCCTTTGGGTAATCTGGCAGACTGACCATGGACAATGATGACTAAAGCTTTGGAAACGGACTATGATAAGCGGAATGAATTTATTAATTATGGACTTGGCAAAATGATGGCCACCAGGCTGGCTTTTTATTGTATATTTATTGTATTAATGTAATGTTTTAACTGTTATATTTATTGTTACTATGTATTTTACTGTGTGAATTGTAGGCATCAACGTATGCCGGTTGGAAGCCGCCCTGAGTCCCCCTTTGGGGGTTGAGAAGGGCGGGGTAGAAATACCCGAAATAAATAAATAAATATTAATTATTTATTTATACCCCGCCACCATCTCCCAGAATCAGAAGGACCAAGTAGCAACAGTCAGAACTGACCACGGAAGAACAGCCTGGTTCAAGATTGGGAAAGGCGTCCGGCAAGGCTGCATCCTCTCACCCAACCTTTTTAACTTGTATGCAGAACACATCATGCGAGGATGTGCGGGGCTGGATGAATGCAAAGCTGGGGTGAAAATTGCTGGAAGAAACATTAACAACCTCAGATATGCAGATGACACCACTCTGATGGCCGAAAGCGAGGAGGAGCTGAGGAGCCTTCTAATCAAGGTGAAAGAAGAAAGCGCAAAAGCCGGGTTGCAGCTAAACGTAAAAAAAACCAAGATTATGGCAACAAGAATGATTGACAACTGGGAAATAGAGGGAGAAAACGTGGAGGCCGTGACAGACTTTGTATTTCTAGGCGCAAAGATGACTGCAGATGCAGACTGTGGCCAGGAAATCAGGAGACGCTTCCTTCTTGGGAGGAGAGCAATGTCCAAGCTCAATAAAATAGTAAAGAGTAGAGACATCACACTGGCAACCAAGATCCGCCTAGTCAAAGCCATGGTATTCCCTGTAGTAACCTACGGATGTGAGAGCTGGACCTTAGGGAAGGCTGAGCGAAGGAAGATCGATGCTTTTGAACTGTGGTGTTGGAGGAAAGTCCTGAGAGTGCTTTGGACTGCGAGAAGATCCAACCAGTCCATCCTCCAGAAAATCAAGCCCGGCTGCTCATTGGAGAGAAGGATACTAGAGGCAAAGCTGAAGTCCTTTGGCCACATCATGAGGAGACAGCAAAGCCTAGAGAAGACAATTATGCTGGGGAAAGTGGAAGGTAAAAGGAAGAGGGGCTGACCAAGGGCAAGATGGATGGATGGCATCCTTGAAGGGACTGGACTGACCTTGAAGGAGCTGGGGGAGGTGACGGCCGACAGGGAGCTCTGGCGTGGGCTGGTCCATGAGGTCACGAAGAGTCGGAGACGACTGAACGAATGAACAACAACAACAACCATCTCCCAAGGGGACTCAGGGCGTCTTACATGAGGCCATGCCCAGCAATACAGTAAAACAATATGACACAACAGAAAATAAGAAAATAAAAAATAACATAAGATACAAAAAAGCAATATAAATAAACAGAGCAACAATATAAAAGCATAACATTAAAACACAGAAAATTAATCACAGTAGGCAAAAAAAAAGTGTTTTAACATTTCAGTAGGAAATAGCATTAGTGCAAAGCAGGGATGGTCCAACTTCGGCCCTCCCTCCAGGTGTTTTGGACTTAAACTCCCACAATTCCTAACAGCCAGCTGTTAGAAATTGTGGGAATTGATGTCCAAAACACCTGGAGAGATGGCCGAAGTTGGCCCATGCCCGAAAATCTGACTTCCCCAATGCTAGAGTCCTTTTAAGCAAATGACAGTCAAATGCTTCTTCCTTTCAACACGTTTTTCCCTTCCTGTTTCTAGGCGAAGCCCAGTCTGGAAGTGTTAAGGGGGAAACAGAAGTCATCTTCCTCTTTAACTTCGCATTCTACCCACTGATGGAGACGTTTGCACTTAAAGCCAAACAGTCTTCTGACAGCTTAGCATATTTACCTTGGGACCAGCGCTGTGACATCTTCCTAAATGACAAGTAAGTTTCCATTTTTTTCTCAAACTAAGCAAGTCATTATTATATTAATACCAAAAATACATAGAATTGTATATATATCAACCCTTTCATAATATTTTACTCACATTGGAAGTTTAGAAAAGACATTATAATCCAGTACTTCCTTAAATACATAAGCATCACAACAAATATCCATATTAGCGATTTGCTAATTGTTGCAATTCATGTATCAGCATGTTATGACTTAAGCCAAACAGTTTAAAATTCTCAGAACAGCATATTTCAGTTATTTATTTATCGTGTCAGCAAACTTGGTAGTTGATTAAATGTCCTTTGACCAGTATCTGGCCACTTGGAGTGCCTCTGGTGTTGCTGCAAGGAGGTCCTCCATCGTGCATGGGGCAGGGCTCAGGTTGTATTGCAGCAGGTGGTCAGTGGTTTGCTCTTCTCCACACTCGCATGTTGTGGATTCCACTTTGTAGCCCCATTTCTTGAGTTTGGCTCTGCATCTCGTGGTGCCAGAGCGCAGTCTGTTCAGCGCCTTCCAAGTTGCCCAGTCTTCTGGGTGCCCAGGAGGGAGTCTCTCATTGGGTATCAGCCATTGATTGGGGTTCTGGGTTTGAGCCTGCCACTCTTGGACTCTCGCTTGCTGGGGTGTTCCAGCGAGTGTCTCTGTAGAACTTAGAAAACTATTCCTTGATTTAAGTCGTTGACGTGCTGGCTGATATCCAAAGAAGGGATGGGCTGGAGATGTCACTGCCTTGGTCCTTTCACTATTGGCTGCTACTTCCCGGTGGATGTCAGGTGGTGCAATACTGGCTAAACAGTGTAATTTCTCCAGTGGTGTGGGGCACAGACACCCCGTGATAATGCGGCATGTCTCATTAAGAGCCACATCCACTGTTTTAGTGTGGTGAGATGTGTTCCACACTGGGCATGCGTACTCAGCAGCAGAGTAGCATAGCACAAGGGCAGATGCCTTGACTGTGTCTGGTTGTGACCCCCAGGTTGTGCCAGTCAGCTTTTGTATGATATTGTTTCTGGCGCCCACTTTTTTGCTTGATGTTCAGGCAGTGCTTCTTGTAGGTCAGAGCACGGTCCAGAGTGACTCCCAGGTATTTGGGTGTGCTGCAATGCTCCAGTGGGATTCCTTCCCAGGTGATCCTCTGAGCTCGGGATGCTTGTCTGTTCTTAAGGTGAAAAGCACATGTCTGTGTTTTAGATGGGTTAGGAATCAGCTGGTTTTCCCTTTAATAGGCTGTAAGGGCACCTAGAGCTTCAGAGAGCTTCTGTTCTACCGTCTCAAAGCTCCCTGCCTGGGTGGTAATGGCATGATCATCTACATAGATCAAACTCTCTGTCCCTTCTGGCAGTGGCTGGTCATTTGTGTAGATGTTGAACATGCATGGAGGAAGCACGCTCCCCTGAGGCAAGCCGTTCTTCTGTTTCCGCCATCTGCTTCTCTGGCCTTGGAACTCAACAAAAAAGCTCCTATTTTGTAGCAGGCTTCCTATGAGGCGGGTGAGGTGGTCGTCCTTTGTGATATTTCAGTAATGGGGCAGCAATTAAAATGTGTTGATTTCAATTAAATTGCAACTAATAGTTTATAGATACATGATTTCTTTGGCAAGGTTTGGTAGAGTTCAAGGTCTAAGGTAAAGGTAAAGGTTTTCCCTGACATTAAGTCTAGTCATGTCCGACTCTGGGGGTTGGTGCTCATCTCCATTTCTAAGCCCAAGAGCTGGCGTTGTCCATAGACACCTCCAAGGTCATGTGTCTGGCATGACTGCATGGAGTGCCGTTACCTTCCCACGGAGCAGTACCTATTGATCCATTCATATTTGTATGTTTTCGAATTGCTAGGTAGGCAGAAGCTGGGGCTAACAGTGAAACTCACCCCAGATTTGAACCACCAACCTTTTGGTCAGCAAGTTCAGCAACTCATCAGTTTAACCTGCTGTGCCACCAGGAGCCCATTCTAGGTCTAGGATTAGGGAAAGAATAGATATCCTTCCATCTGAACCAGTGGTTCCCAACCTTTGAGTCTCTAGGTGTTTTGGACTTCAACTCCCAGAAATCCCAGCCAGTTTATCAGTTGTTAGGAACTGTGGGAGCTGAAGTCCAAAACATCTGGAGGCCCAAAAGTTGGGAACCACTGATCTGAACTCTTCACACAGGGATCACATATTAAATTTATCCTGGTATGTTCTTGGGAAGTGCAATTGTTTCATTGTGTCACCAGATGGCAATGCAACATGAGCTATGAACATTCAGCTGATCGTTATACAACTATCAAACTATGTTTTTAAAAAGAGATGATAGTATTTAATAAATATAGTTGTTAAACTAGCTTTCCCCAGAACTCCCATGACGAAAAGAAAATATTGGAAGGGTTTGGTGGGCATTGACCTTGAGTTTTGGGAGTTGTAGTTCACCTACATATAGAGAGCACTGTGGACTCAAACAATGATGGATCTGGACCAAACTTGGCATGAATTCTCAATATGCCCAAATGTAAACACTAATAGGGTTTGGGGAAAATAGGCCTTGACATTTGGGAGTTGTAGTTGCTGGGATTTATAGTTCACCTACAATCAAAGAGCATTCTGAACCCTGCCAACTATTGAATTGGGCCAAACTTCCAACACAGAACCTCCATGACCAACAGAAAATAATGTGTTTTCTTATGGTCTCTGGTGACCCCTCTGACACCCCCTTGCGACCCCTCCAGGGGTCTCGACCCCCAGGTTGAGAAACACTGATATAGATATATCAATGCTAGAGTTAGCGATGGACGTCAACCTTCTTTGCATATTTCTTTTGAGCACTTCCATGACTGCTGTAAGAATGACGGAACACTAGATAGAATTCATGGTTGAACAACTTGGAAATGCCTTCTAAACCAGACATGGGCAAACTTTGGCCCTCCCTCTGGGTGTTTTGGACTTCAACTCCCACAGTTGAAGTCCAAAAACACTCGAAGGAAGGACCGAAGTTTACCCATGCCTGCTCTAAATGGTGAACATTATTTACAGTGCTAGGGAGCCCCGTCTTGAATGGCTCTTTGCTGCCTAGCCATCTGGTGGCAAGTGAATGAGGCATGGTCAAGTGGGTTTGCACAGGAGCCCAGGGAGTTAGGATCTCCACCTTTGTCTCCTTGCCAGCCTGCAGCGGCTGTCCACAATTAGCCAGCAGATGCCCGAGTGCTGGAGCCAGCTGCAGGACTACGCGGCTGCCCTGACAAGAGGGAGCCCAGAGGAAGAGCCAGGAGAGGAAGAGGCCGGGTAAGTTTATCACCCCTGGAGATGGGTTGTGCAGTCATTGTCTTGTTTAAGCCCACGAATATTGATTCTTTCCCTCCCAAAGTTCTACTAAACATCTTCCTACCTATTTGTCTGCCCCACCTTCAAGATGTAGGAGTTTCATATTCCCTAATCCTGTTCTGTGGCAGGTTGGGGTTAGAAAGGAACCATGTCGTGTTGTACTTCATCCCCTTCTGTGGCATTAGCCATGTATAAGTTTTAGAAGGATTTATATATATATATATAAAAAGAAAAAACTGATAGCTAATGTAATCTTTCAAAGTAGTCCAAATGTTTTAAATTGATTTATTTAACCAGTTAATTGATTAAACATTGCTAGCCCTTCTCTGCACAGCACAAAGTTACACTAAACTACACTAAACTACACCGCAATGAGTCGCACACCGCAATGAGTCGCCCTCGGGCTGAGAATTGCGGTATATAAGAGCAGTAAATAAATAAATAAAAATAAATACTGGTACTTGCCACAACAAAAAAAAAGTGATAACCAGTTTGTATGACTTTAAAAGTTCATGAAGCATAAGGTGGTGTTATTGAAGGCTTTCATGGCTTTAATCACTGGGTTACTGTGAGTTTTCCAGGCTGTATGACCATGTTCCAGAAGCATTCTCTCCTGATGTTTTGCCCATCTCTATAGCATGCATCCTCAGAGGTTGTGAGGTTTGTTGGAAACTAGGCAAGTGGGGTTTATATATCTGTGGAATGTCCTGGGTGGGAGAAAGAACTCTTGTCTGAGGCAAGTGTGAATGTTGCAATTGGCCACCTTGACTAGCATTTAATGGCCTTGTAGCTTCAAAGCCTGTCTGCTTGAGGGAATCCTTCATTGGGAGATGTTACCTGGCCCTGATTGTTTCCTTCCTGGAATTCTCTGTTTTTTTAGCATTGTTCTTTATTTACTGTCCTGATTCTAGAATTTTTTTAAATACTGGTAGCCAGATTTTGTTCATTTCCAACAAAATGGAAGAAACTATAAAAAACCCAGGGAATTCCAGACAGGAAAAATATCAGGGTCAGCTGACACTTCCCAAAAAGGATTCCCTAGGCAGGAAGCAACCAGGCTTTGGAGCTGCAAGGCTATTCAATGCTAATCAAGCTGGCCAATTGCAACATTCATACTTGACTCAAACAAACAAGAGTTGGATTGTTGTAGGTTTTTTCAGGCTACATGGCCATGTCTAGAGGCATTCTCTCCTGACATTTCGCCTGCATCTATGGCAAGCATCCTCAGAGGTAGTGACAAGAGTTCTTTCTCCCCTCCTGGACATTTCACAGATCTATAAACCTCACTTGCTTAGTTTCCAACAGACCTCACAAACTCTAAGGATGCCTGCTATAGATGTGGGTGAAACATCAGGAGAGAATGTTTCTCCGACATGGCCATACATCTTGGAAAACTCACAGCAAGAATAAGGTTATTAGTGACACTCAACCTACATCATTATATACTATTTTCAGTATTAGAAGTGCAGTACCTTCCATACCAGAAGTACTATAAACACAGCTTCAGACTTTTTGCATTTTAATATTCCTGACGAACATGGCTTTCAATTCTAGTCCTGTCCTAGGTTCTTCCTTCTTTCTCTTTGAAACCACAACATATGTTATTGGTCCTACACGCCTAGGGATGGTTGGGAAGTGTAACAATCTACCAAAGTGGCCAGCCTCTGTTCATAAAAATCAGCTCTGCCTCATCATAGAAATTGCCATTTCGTCAACAGTTCATCCTTCTTTCCCCCTTCTAATTCTTTGCCTAGGGTTGTTGAAGATACCATTGGCTGAGAATAGCATCCAGTGTGGACAACATCCCTGCTACTCCCGTGTTTCAGGAATTCAAAGACAGCGCAGAAACTGGGATGTTCTGCATCACTTCCCTTTGGGTCCCGCTCTGAAGCATCTGCTCCTTCTTAAATCCTGACTAGTCCTCAAGGCATGATACCAATCATTCCAAAGCGGAGATAAACTATCGTCATCTATGGAGACTCAAAGGGCACTTGGTTATTCATTGTTTATGTATGGAGCTGAACGGCGGTTTGTTTCCTTCTTGTATGACAGAGTTCTTCAGCAGTGCCAACTTAAAAATAAATAATGATATTACAATAAAAAAGAAACAATACATGCTTCCATTACAACCTTATAAAAAAAATCAATGAAGAGCAAACATAATGCGCTGTCGAAGGCTTTCATGATTGGAATCAATGGGTTGCTGTAAGTTTTCTAGGCTGTATGGCCATGCTCCAGAAGCATTCTCTTCTGACGTATTGTCGAAGGCTTTCATGGCCAGAATCACTGGGTTGTTGTAGGTTTTTTTGGGTTATATGGCCATGTTCTAGAGGCATTCTCTCCTGACGTTTCGCCTGCATCTGTGGCAAGCATCCTCAGAGGTAGTGAGGTGTTTTGGAACTAGGAAAAAGGGTTTATATATCTGTGGAATGACTGGGGTGGGGCAAAGGACTCTTGTCTGCTGGAGCTAGGTGTGAATGTTTTCTTTATATATTTATATGAACATTCACACCTAGCTCCAGCAGACAAGAGTCCTTTGTCCCACCCTGGTCATTCCACAGATATATAAACCCATTTTCCTACTTCCAACAGACCTCACTACCTCTGAGGATGCTTGCCATAGATGCAGGCGAAACGTCAGGAGAGAATGCCTCTAGACCATGGCCATATAGCCCGAAAAACCTACAACAACCCATTCTCTTCTGATGTTTCACCCACATCTCTGGTCAACCCCTCAAATTCTGAGGATGCTTGCCATAGATGTGGACAAAACATCAGGAGAGAATGCTTCTGGAACATGGCCATACAGCCCCGAAAACTCACAGCAACCCAGGAAAAAACAAACCCACATTCCTTCCAGTTTCAGTATCATTCCTGGTACGGATGCATAATTATTTCTTTTCAAGGGCTAGAACAGGAGTATTGTTTTAAATAGTATTTACGTTTTTGAAGTTTTTTAGAGTCTACCATTTTTAATGTGGTTCTTAGTTTAAGTTATTCCTTGTATGTTTGATTGTAATGTTTTAAAAGTTGTAATATGTAAGTTTTGGGATATAAATAAATATGCAAATAAAATCAACTAACAGCAACAAGTTAGTAATGCTTTCAGGTGGAAATAGAGCATCCTACGGTGGCCCCAAGTGCCACGGTTTGTAAAGTTTCACAATGGTTAATTGTTACTTGGCACTGTGCGACTGACTGGAGGGAAACTTGGTCTTGCCTCCCCCCTTTTCTTATTTTTCTCTTGATCCTGGTTTGAGGCAACTTTTAGTTTGCCATTTGGAAAACAGGGTTTGTTCAAGGTGAAATGACAAATCATAGTTTGCTTCTCTGTGTCCCGACCACCATCTCCCAAAGCAGTTGCTCTACTCCGAACTCAAGAATGGAAAACGGAATGTTGGTGGGCAGGAAAAGAGATTGAAAGACGGGCTCAAAGCCAACCTCAAAAACTCTGGCATAGACACTGAGAACTGGGAAGCCCTGGCCCTTGAGCGCTCCAGCTGGAGGTCAGCTGTGACCAGCAGTGCTGCAGAATTTGAAGAGGCACGAATGGAGGATGAAAGAGAGAAATGTGTCAAGAGGAAGGTGCGTCAAGCCAACCCTGACCGGGACCGCCTTCCACCTTGAAACCAATGCCCTCACTGCGGGAGATGATGCAGATCAAGAATAGGGCTCCACAGTCACATATGGACCCACCCTGGAGGATTATCCCACTCAGACAACGAGGGATCGCCTAAGTAAGTAAGTTCCCCTTGGGATTCAGGCTGGTAAATTTGTTTACATCTTTACAATACTTGATCTTTAAGTAGAATTTTAATATTATAGCAGTTTAATATATACCATGCTGCATTATCCCAGGATGTCTATGTCCTACACCACTTCAGAAATTAGCCAGTATTGCACCACCTGATATCCACCAGGAAGTAGCAGCCTATAATGAAAGGACCAAGCAGTGACATCTCCGGCCCATCCTCTGTTTAGATATCAGCCAGCACGCCAATGCCTTAAATTGAGAAATAGCTTTCTAAGACCTATAGAGATACTCGCAGGAACACCTCAGCAAGCAAGAGTCCAAAAGTGGCAGGCTAAACCTGAAACCTCAATCTATGGCTGATACTGGATGAAAAACTCCCTCCTGGGTGCATAGAAGACTTGGCAACTTGGAAGGCACTGAACAGACCGTGCTCTGGCACCACGAGGTGCACAACCAATCTTAAGAAATGGAGCTACAAAGTAGGGTCCACAACATGCGAGTGTGAAGAGGAGCAAACCACAGACCACTTACTCCAATGCAGCCTGAGCTCTACCACATACACAATGGAGGACCTTCTTGCAGCAACACCAGAGGCACTCCAAGCTTCTGGTCAAAGGACATTTAGTTTAATGCCAAGTTTTTAACTTTATTTGTGTTTTTAAATACATTATAACTGTAACCTCAATTTGCTTTTGACACCATAAATAAAGTCGTCCACCAGAGAGCACTCTTGCACTGTAGCCAGTGTAGAGAAACTGATCTTTGCAGACTCTGAGGTGCTCCTGATATCCATCCAACATTTTCATCCAGAGACATGACTGAGGCATGAGTTAAATCCTAAAATGTGGTGGGTTTAAACCTTTTAAGCAATGCAGTATCAGATGGTTTGGCTTCTACTCTAAGGACCAAAATCAATGGGGAGGATAGAGTTATCCTTCAACCTAGATGGGCTCAGGCTTGTAGATCACGCTTGGCAGGGATGAGAAACAGGGCCTTCTTGGCGGTGGCTCCCCGCCTGCGGAATTCATTCCCAAGTGAAATTAGGTCAACTTCCCTCCTTTCCTTCAGGACCAGGCATTTGGATAGCAGGCTGATAAATTATGACAATGCTATGGAAAATGGACTATGGATAGACTTCGGACTAAGTTGTTGATCGTAGAACTCAGATTTAGATTTTGCCAACCAATTCAATTTGCGCTATTTTAAAATAGTTTTTAATTTAAATTAATGTTTTACCTATTGTGTAACTGTTGTTATATCTATTTGTATATCGAATTGTTGCCAGCTGTAAGCCGCCCTGAGTCCCCCTTCGAGGGCAGAGAAGGGTGGGGTACAAATATCTGAAATAAATAAAAAAATATAGTGAACACCAGTTAACCAACTGGCCTGGATTTTGGCAATACAGCAGCCAGATTTCATGAGCCAAGATTGTTTAGTATTC